GCTGTCCTGTCCTGTCCTTTCCTGTTTTGTCTTGTCCTGTCCTGCTGTTTGTCATCACAAGGTCGTGACTGCCAAAAAAGGGAGGCTGGGCCCTCGCGACTGCCAAATGAGGCAGGCAACGCTGGCAAATCAGAGCGCGTAGTTGAAACCTCGCTTAGCTTTGGCGCCTTCCAGAACAGATATAAAAAGGGCCTCCTTCCTCCCTTTCCTGACCTCCTTCCTCTTTCCTTCCCTTTTCCTTCCTTCACTCCAGCCAACCAGCCCCTTTCTTGTTTTTGCTTCTTGCACTTGCTCTTCTTGCTCTTCTTGTTCTTCTTGCTTTTCTCACCACCAACAGCGCGATATACAGACATCTAACACTTCTTTCTAGTTTGCATCTTCCCCTTTCTTCCCTTTCTCTTCTGCACTACGAGTCTATCTCTCAGATTCTCTCGAGCAGCTTAGGGTGTTTTCTCGTTTCACACACAAATGTTCTACATTGCAAGGAACACATGGCTATGATGATACACAACAGAGCAAAAAGTAACAGACACGCACAATTCCCACTGCTTCGGCTTTCAGGGTCTTGTTGTGAGTCGTGCTACAAAGTGCATTCTCACCAGATCTGAGCCTATGGAGTGGATGCGCGGTACGCGTTGCATACACATACATATGACTTCCACACTGAGCATCCATTCCCACCCACACAAAACACAAGCACTTACAACCCATTCCCTTCCCTCGCAACAGTGACAACTTGATTCACTTTTACACGTTGGTTTCGAGTCTTCGGACAGTGACAAATCCTCATGCTCTGCCTTTTACATATCACGTTTGAGTTGACGATGTTGAAGATGTTGGGTTTCCTATGATGAGATTTCTGGAATAGATATGCTTACAGTTGTAGTGCCACTGGCCAGACAGCTAGCATGTTCCAATCTGAGGAGACGTTGGTGATAGTGATAGTGATGTAGATAGATAGTATGATGTTGTTGATATTGTTGTTGTTGTTGTTGCTACTTGATGTTGTTGATGTTGTGGTACTTGACAATGTTGATATTTGTTTACTATGCTACCTGCTACTCATGTTGATGCTTCGTGGTTGTTTACCTATGGTAGTTGACTACCAAGTGTCATAGATAAGCATATCAAGTCTGTCAGTCAACTCTTTACTACTCTATACTTTACTATGTTGCATCTATACTTGCTCCAGACGAATACGAGGTTTTTCTTGACTCTACATCCGCATCACAATTACAAATACGAGAAACACACAAAGATAAACTACCATACACCAAGTCAAACAAGCAGTATAGAATCAAGGAAAAAAATCATACAAGCCGTCCATTTTTTTATATCAAGCAGTTTTGGTTCGATTGTTAAGATAGAAACTGTTCCTTATAAGCCAGAGCCTCCCACTGCATGCCCATCTACCACCCACTATTAAACAGCGCCCTAATATAACATGACAGAAGGAAAGGAAGCAATAGAAAGAGAAGAAAAGGAAAAAAGGGACGAAGAGGATATAAATGAAGACACAAAAAGGACAGAACGAAGCTGGTTGACTTTGACTCTGGGCTGGCCGGCTGACCTTGGCTGTGCTGTGGGTATCGATCGACCTGGGAGAGCAGCAGTTTCGTTTGGTTACCTGGGAAATCTACTGACTTCTTCCATCCGTTCAGCGTACCAAACACGACATGAAAGGTGAAAAGCAGGTAAGCAAGCAAAGGTCAGAGAGATGGAATCTCTTTTGTTTTGTTTTTGTTTTTTTGTTTTTTCTTTCTTTTTCTGGCGTAAGCATAGCGTATACGTTGCTGTATTGTATAGAGATAAAAATTGAAGCCCACGTCAAAATAAAACCAGCGCGTGCAACGCGTAATTCATATAATAGCAACACACGAGGAAGCAAAGGGGTGGTTTAATCCCTGGTTAGCACGGGAAAGAGGTGAGTTGAGGTATGGATATTTCGGAGTGGACCGGTTGAAACAAGCAGAACGCCGCGTTAAGAGAAGAAGAAAAAAGAAGTAAAAAAAAAAAGAGACAAGTAGTTTGTCACAGTTCGAAGACAGTTTGACGGGTATGGGTATGGATATGGAAGATGGGGGTTGGACTGGGAGAAGGTGTTCTAGCTGTGCTTCTTCTTGTCGGCATTGGTGATCAAGGCTCTGTTGATGTGTGGCAGGACACCTCCGTAGGCTATGGTGGCGCGAATGAGAGTGTCGAGTTCTTCGTCACCGCGGATGGCGAGCTGGAGATGTCGCGGCGTGATACGCTTGACTTTCAGGTCCTTGGCGGCGTTGCCTGCGAGTTCCAGGACTTCGGCGGTCAGGTACTCGAGCACTGCTGTGGTATAGACGGCGGCTGTGGGGAGCAAGAGAAGGACGTATAAGCATTCGGGTCCATCCGTGGAATAGGGAAGGGGGAGGGGAATAAAATCATAACATACCCTTTGCTCCGACGCGCATCTTGTTGCGCGTGTTGCTCTTTAGGAATCGCTTGACACGGCCGCAAGGGAACTACATAGCAAACCACCGGTCAGCATCTATCGCCGCATCAACAGGTAGATAACCGACTGCGATGCGCGTTGTGGTCTTGTGTGTATACACGACCAACAAACACGTGTCATTAACCCCCCCAAGGCGGAGATAAAAAGACATGAAAAGATAGCCGACTCAGCTGTCGGTCACTAGGGGAGGGAGCAACGAACCTGCAGTCCGGCCTTTGCACTGTGCGATCGTGGTCCTTTGCCGTTGGCATCTTTGGGCGCGGCCTTTCCACCTCCCACGGACTTTCCTTTGCCTCCTGGCATGGTTGTATCCTTGTCTTTATCGTCGTGTGAAAACGGGAAAAGGCGATGCGAGCGGTGCTATGGCGCGTCGGAAGCTGGTGTGCTTTTGTATGAGTGGGGGAGGGTGCGAGTAAAGCGTGGTGCGTTTCGCGTGTATTTCTTCTTCTGCTGCCTGGCAGGTTAAGTTGGAGGGTTTTGGAGGGATAAAGATGTTAAGTAAGGTAAGTTTATCTTCCTCAGTGGACGGTCGGTCGATGTTGGTCATAGCGTGGGCCCTTTTTTTTTTTTTTTTGTTTTTTTTTTTTTTTCTTTCCTTCCTTGCTTGCAGAGAAAGGGCGCTAGACCGCTTTCGGACGGACGGTTGTCACAGGGTGAAGCAAGCGGGAGTGAAGGCGACGGCCAGCGCGAAGTGAAGGAGGGAGGCAGTGGCGGCGGTGGCAGGTCGGTGACAGAGCGGATAGCATGGCGTAGGGGCGAGCCTGTCGCTGCTTGGAGTTAGTGGTGGTTAGTAGTAGCTGTCGAGATGCTCAGTAGCCTGTGTTAGTTAGTGCTGGTAGTTAGTAGGTAGAGGATGGCCATCTTGCGAGTATGTCCAACATCACATATAGAGTGTAGGTAGTCACTCTTGCCAGGGAAGACGGGTTTGGAGCTTTTCTTTCTTGCACAGGGGCATCGCTCCGGAGGGCGATGCGTCTTCGCTTCGAGCATCTCTGGCCTCCCCGTCTCCATCTCGGCCTCCATCCTCTCCCTCTTCTGTGCGCTTCTTCGTCGGCCCATTTCTTGAAGTTCTGGCGAGGAGTTGATATCAGATTATGTAATACATCACGTGACTTATAGCTTTGGTGGCCGCATGGGAAACTTTTCAGCAGCCCTTTTTCTCGTTTAGCAAGGAGGAAGCAGGATAAATTTCGCAGCCTTGGGATCGCAGCACCGTTGCTTTACTATCCGTCGTCTTACTCTCTGTCTTGTCTTGTCGTCTGCAGTCTTCAGTTGCATCTCTGTTCGCCATGGCTTTCTCGATGTTTAGCCCCCAAATGTAAGAGCTTCCCGGACCCTCAATTTTGACCAAGATAGCAAGGAGCCCGCGTGCGCATCTGGGGATAACCCTGGAGAGGCTGGGAGAGTTGAAGAAGACATGCTAACAGCTTGGTTATAGAACCAACCTTGCCATCATTCTGGTCATGATGCAAGTGTCGAAGAAGATCCCCTTCGATAACCCAGATGTCCTCCTCGGCGTTCGCACCATGTACATTGCCTCCAACATTGCCATTGCAGCACTCTACTACTACATCTACACCGTCATTGTCCAGAAGAAAGGTACGCCTAACCAGTCTCCAGTTCAGGCTATGTTCAACCGTCGCCCACTAACACAACAGATACAGACCTTAAAACTCTCAAGTACGTTGAGCCCCCAGCCATGGGCTCCCAAGACGAACCCCGTCCAGTCGTCACCACCGTCCAGGAGTACGACAAGCAACAGCTTCGCGCCGCCCTCAAGTCCCAGCTCATGGGCGTCGGCATGATGGCCGTCATGCACCTATACTTCAAATACACCAACCCACTGCTCATGCAGTCCATCATCCCCATCAAGAGCGCCCTGGAGAGCAACATCGTCAAGGTCCACTTGTTCAACGTTCCTGCCAAGGGTGATCTTGAGAGACCATGGAAGGCTGCCGGTGGAATGATGGGCATGGGCCAGCCACCTGTCAAGACCGACAAGGCCAGTGTTGAGTCTGCTGAGAAGAACTGGAGGGGCGGTGCTAAGGAAGAGTAAAGTAAAAAGACACTGAGGCGAAATATTTTCTTTCAAAACTTCTTCTTGTCTTGGAGCCGGACCGGGTGGATGAATGGGATTGGGAATTGTGACATTATGAGGCAAAGCTGTTTTCTTCTTCCTTTCATGCCGGTATTATGAATATTCGTTTTCTTTTTTCTTTCCCCCTTTTTTATCCTCTTTTTTATTTGCTTGGTTGTCCTCTTTTCATTTTTATCGGCTATGCGTCCTGTCCTCGGCGTTGCGTTGATAAATAAAGAAGCATCCCATAGACTTAACAGAACATATTTTGATAGAAACAATTCAGATATCTTATCTAACAGCCAGTGTTATCTCTGCTTAGTCATAAGATGTTTCTTCACCCCTACAATTGTTTTAGGATCAATGTTTTCGAGAGCCATCAACAAACTTCGTCTCTGCTTTCCTTGATATCATAAGTTGCTGTCCAATGGGAGCAGCATGTTGGAGAATTATCCCCTAGATATTCTTCGGACGATCGTATCACAACTTGATGATCGGGTTGACCTGAAAAGCTTGTCCGAAACATCACGGTTTTGGAACGAAGTCACTAATCCGTTTCTATACAGAAATATCTTTATTTCAACCTCTAGGAACGATTATGGCATAATCCAGGCTCACCTGAGAGCGGGAGTACTTCAATATACCAGGAATATTCAAGTTTTATGCAGCAGATCTCTAACTGGGCCCAATGATTTCGATTTTGAAGACTATTCCCCTTGCACTGACTCACCCAACCACTATTGCACCAGATTCGATAGCAATGAAAGTGTCATTGATTCTCTTTATAACTGGGATCTTTACCAAGGTCTCAGTAGTGCCGAGCTAGCAGATAAGAAGCGGTGGATAGATCCTGATGGCGACCCTAACTTCTATCCTGAATTATTCAACCTTGGATCCAGGCGGAGAATACTGTCCGTATTAATAAGATGCAGGGAGGGATTTTTGAAGAGTTTTAGGTGAGCAACGTCTGTCCGAAGTAATGTAATTGCGAGCTGACATAGGAATGTACTATGGAAGCTGGGCCAGGCAAGACGTTATCCCGCCTGAGATCATGGGAGAGGGGGGGTATCTTCCTACTAGACAGCCTTTTATCGAACAGCTCCGCTTTGGGTTCCTTGAATGTTGTAATTTACAACACCCTCAATTATTTACCAGGTTAAAACGCCTGGCAATACTTAATGCGGAAGAATCCACGTTTATTGACCATGAATCTGAAGTAAAGAATGTCCGGGACTGCGTGACACTCAACTGCGGTCAACTGGAGTACCTTGAGATCAGCTGCATATACTGGCAGCTCTTGGGCGATGAATATGATATCGAGGACCAGCACTTCACGGAGGCGCTGATAAAGCCATGTCGAAATGATCAGCTCCGGTTCCCGAATATACAGCATCTCGTACTCGAAGGATATCTATTCAACAAAGGCCGAGTTAGCTTACTCAAGGATTTGAATCCAGAGGTACTGCACACCTTGTCCTTAAGATCTTGCCTTTTCTGGGAGGATTTATTACCCTTACTTAACTCTGAGGACCGCCCTTTTCATATACGAACGTTGGAGGTGCAGGCATATTCTGGATCTTTACCTGGAGTGATGGATCGGCAGCCCGAGGGGTGCCGTGAACTAGCAAGTTTTATCGAGAAATGCGAAGCACTCGAAAACTTATTCATTGGGATAGAACGGGCATTTGGTCTTGAGCGACTCTGGAGATCGCTCCTTCGGCACCGAAAGACACTCAAGTCCTTTGTTTTCTACTCTCTTCCCGGCAGAATTGAAGGTCCACATGCTGCTCCAACACCGTACTATGTCCCGAACCTTTCATTTGACCCGCCGTACCACAACGAGATAGAATCCGGGAGGTTGACTTTGAAGCACCTGGATCTGGAACTGCTCGGGGTCAGCTATGAGCCAGAGTATCTGGTGTGTTTTGATTCTGATTCAATGCTATGGGAAAATACTAATAAGTCGATGTTGTTAGATACCAGCTCTCTCTCCGCTAACTACCATGGGCAGCCTGAAAGTGTTGCTTATTCAAGGCTTCCATATACATCCTGAACCCTTTAAAGGACTAGAAGAAATAGGGAGGCTTTCTAAAGTTCTATCTGTTCATCGACGCCTGATTCAGGACTTTGACAAGTTTGTTCAATGGGCGTTTGGGCCTGAGGGAATCCGATCACTAAGGCTAATAGTTCACCGCAACCCGTTCGGCGGCGAAGGTAATGAAACGCTACTCTGCCCTAAAGTAGGGCCAGATGCTGAGCCGCCATTCCCAGGGAGGAACTACCGGCTTGTGACCAAGCGTGACCATGTCCAGTATGGTCTACTCCGCAAACACGCCAGCGCCCTTAGAGCTTGTCCAAGTCGAGGTGCGCCACTATATAAAGATAGTTTCATAATATAGGCAAACCAACCACAGAAACATCCAATCTATCCATTTGATCCATCATCACTGTATTATTATTATTAGTAGTAGTATATCTTTCTGTCTCCATGCATTCCAATTCGGCTGTCCGGTTCTTTTTGCGGATCAACGTTAGACCGACCGGACAAACTTTCCCAATGCAGCAGAGTGTTTTTTGCCGCCGAAACCGCAAACCTTGAAGGAAAATAAGATGAAGGAATGGATATTATTTGATAGCTGAGATGAAGTTCTTCTGGACGCAGAAGACGAATTGAAACTGGTCAATTGGCGAGCAGAGCAAGCCAGGAAAGAAGCCGAGAGCTGCAGCGGCAGAAGTCCATCGAAGCAGAGGGAAAGACACCAGCCGGGTGGGTAACTGAAAGACTAAGCGTTGTCCACGACTACCCGCCCGACCTCCTGTAGCGGGACATCTCGGGAGTCTTTTTTTCGCCAGGGAGGAAAGGAAGGCGTGGGAGTGGAAAGGAAGCTGTCCGACTGACCCCGTCTCCATATGATCAACCCGCCATCCATGTCTCAGCGGCCGAAAGTAGATGGAGATGTCTGCGGGCGGTTGTTCTCCGGCGTGTCAGGAGAGCCCGCGGGCACCAAACCAACTCCGTAGTACGGCAGCGTAGCCCGTAGGCCTGTAATAGTCCTTGAAAACTGTGGTTGAGCGAGAGCTGGGTAGGGCTGCCAGGGTTAAGTTTCTGTTGCGTCAGTTGCTAGCAAGAGATTGAAAGCAAGTCGGGGCGGAGGCCGAGAGCGTTATTTATTGCCTGCCCCTCGCCCGCCTCCCCTCCACCTCTTTCTTCCTCTCGTCTTTTCTTCTGCTTCTTCTCTGCTTCACTATCACCATCTCAGAAGTCCTCCATCTTCTCGTCTACGAGCTCGTCTCAAGTCTTATCTAGGTAAGCCGATGGCCCCCGTCGACCCCGAGACGGCCGTGTTTTGTGGTTGTGGTGGGATACTAACTGCTACCCCGCTATACAGAATCATCCCGCCATCATGGTTGTCAAGGTACATATAATAGCAGAAAAGCGACCTCTTTCGCACTGCGGTTCGTCAGGTTAACAGGAGTCCCAGGTCGGAATCAACGGCTTCGGTCGTATTGGCAGAATTGTCTTCCGCAATGCGTGAGTTGAGCCTCGACAAGTGGGATTGGGGGGTGGACGCCGTGAGAGAAGGACAGTTATAGCTGACCACGGTGCCATAGCTACGAGAACCCAAACATCCAGGTTGTTGCTGTCAACGACCCTTTCATTGAGACCAAATACGCCGTATGTCTTATGTCTGTCTGGGATGCATCGATGCACTGATGTGGTCGACCTGCTAACATCGATCGACCAGGAATACATGTTGAAATATGACTCTCAACACGGCCAATTCAAGGATGAAATCTCGCACGATGAGAGTGGCCTCGTCGTTGGCGGCAAGCACATCAAGTTCTACGCTGAGCGTGACCCAGCCAACATCAAGTGGTCCGAGACTGGAGCCGATTACATCGTCGAGTCCACCGGTGTCTTCACCACCACCGAGAAGGCCAGCGCTCACTTGAAGGGAGGTGCCAAGAAGGTCATCATCTCTGCTCCCTCTGCTGATGCCCCCATGTTCGTCATGGGTGTCAACGAGGAGAAGTACACTGCCGATATCCAGGTCCTCTCCAACGCTTCCTGCACCACCAACTGCCTTGCTCCCCTCGCCAAGGTCGTCCACCAGAACTGGGGTCTCAAGGAGGGTTTGATGACCACCGTCCACTCCTACACTGCTACCCAGAAGACCGTCGACGGTCCCTCCGGCAAGGACTGGCGTGGTGGCCGTACCGCTGCTCAGAACATCATCCCCAGCAGCACCGGTGCCGCCAAGGCCGTCGGAAAGGTCATTCCAGAGCTCAACGGAAAGCTCACTGGTATGTCTATGCGTGTGCCCACATCCAACGTCTCCGTTGTCGACTTGACCTGCCGCACCGAGAAGCCAGTCACCTACGACGAGATCAAGAAGGTCATGAAGGCCGCTTCCGAGGGCGAGCTCAAGGGTATGTTTTTTTTATGCGTCTTCTCTATCCTCAATGGAAGTATAACTTGTCTAATGATGGTATAGGTATTCTCGGATACACCGAGGACGCCGTTGTCTCCACTGATATGAACGGCAACACCAACTCCTCCATCTTCGATGCCGGTGCCGGTATCGCCCTCAACGAGAACTTCATCAAGCTCGTCTCCTGGTACGACAACGAATGGGGCTACTCTCGCCGTGTCGTTGACCTCATCTGTGAGCTTCTCCTCTTCGTTGTTTTGTCTGCTTCGAATTCAGGGCATAAACTAACACGCATCTTCCACAGCCTACATCGCCAAGGTCGACTCCGGCTGCAAATAGCAACTAACGGGAAGTGCGGAACAACGGAGCATGCTCTAGTTAGGTCCACCACCAGTTTCCCATTTCTATCTCTTCCTCCCTATATCCCACTATCAATATAAACCAACAAAAGTGGATACCACCTTACCCCAGAAAAGTAAATAAAAAAAGAATGTAATTCTCTTTGCCTGTGAAGGGCTGAAATATTCATAAGAATGGATAAATATGAAATCAATGCCACCATCTCAGTATTTCTTGACAAAACTTACCTGTAGTGGCCTTGCCTGACTGTTTCAAGGCTGGTCCCCATCTTCGCCTTAACCTCGAACTTCTCAATCTTCAACTTCAATCCATTTTCATCAAATAATGACGAATATATCTGCTCTCAAACTGCTCTCATGCTACCTACCCTAAAGCTAACTACCCCTAATCATCTTAAGCCGTTTTTGAAATCTTCCCCTGCAGAATGCGCGAGCAAGGCCTATCACGTGAACAGCTAACTAGTTATTTATATCACGTGATCCTCTATTTCTTAAGGCCAAAAAGTTACGCCCTCAAAGCTTCATCAAGTTGCTTGACTTGCTCGATCTTCATCCGCTGGCTGCTGCGTCTTGCACTGCATCTTCTTCTTCGTCACAGGCTGTCTGCATCTTATACCCTGGAATTGGCTTCTCTGGCGGCTACAGGACACACATAGCTCTCGCTCTATGTGCATCTGGCGCCGCTGACGTCTTTGCCGTGCATCTATACCTTCTATACACACTGTCCTGGCCGCATTGGCGTGCTGATGCCCAAAGGCGCCTGCCTGGCCTCTGGACCTTTTGCCTAATAGCCAGTCAATTACTGTTCACTTTTCTTCTTTACAACTGAGATCTCAAACATTACATTGATGGGGAGTTGAGCTAGCGCATTTGGTTCTCATTTCCAGCTTTGGTTTTGCCTTGTCACACCCGCGGAGGAAGAAAAGAACCAGAGGAATTGAATAGCTTCCACGGCCCCGTCTTTTCCTGCATGATACCATCTCTAGCTCGTACTATGACCATCGAGCTCTGACCGTCGACTTCCTTTTTCATTTCCATCATCTCTTAGCGATCGTATACGTACCAAGCATCATGGACGGGGACGAAGACGTGGTCATGGGCGAAGCTCGCGTACCAGAATCCGCACCAGGCCCAGCTCCCACATCAACCTCCACCATCCCCATCGGCGGCGGTCGTCCGTCTCCTCCGTCTGCAGAAGAGGCATCGCTCACGCCAGAAGCACAAATACAAGCCCCCAATGGATCCAAGGAACATACTCAGTCCCTACTAGCGACCTTCCACCAAAAAGTGCATAGTCCCGGGAAACTGCTGAAGGAGATTGAAGACCACCAGGCAGGCATCTCGACTCCCAACAACGATCCTACTACCGGCACGCCCCGGCCCACTGTGGCGGCAGGACACCACGTCAAGGCCGAAACAGATACCGCCATCGCAGACGAAGAGGCAGAGGACTCAGATTGGTCTGCTGATCACCATGAAGGGCGCAGTAGGGCGCTGCACCGCGCCCAGCTTCCGACGGGGTATTGCTATGATAATCGCATGCGGTATCATTGTGAAGTGAAGCCTACGCTGGACGTGCATCCGGAAGATCCCAGGCGCGTGTATTATATCTATCGAGAGCTGGGTAGGGCTGGACTGATTGCTGATGGAGGGGAGTTTCAGGGGCCATTGGTGCCTCAGCCGCTGAAGAGGATTGAGGCGAGGGATGCGACGGAGGCAGAGATCATGTTGGTGCATACCAAGGAGCATTATGAGTTTGTGAAAAGCACGAAGGGTGAGTGCCTGATGATGAATGGATTTTGTTTGGTTTGTGTTCCTGGCTAACTAACTGGGGGTAGATATGTCGGAGGATGAACTGCTTGAGCTTGAACATACGCGAGACTCTATCTATTTTAATTCGTTGACGTTTACGTCTGCGCTGCTCTCGTGCGGCGGTGCAATTGAGACGTGCAAGGCTGTGGCAGAGGAGCGAGTCAAGAACGCGATTGCGGTGATTCGTCCGCCCGGCCACCATGCCGAGAGCAATAAGACGATGGGATTTTGTCTGTTTAATAATGTCTCTGTGGCTGCGAGGGCATGCCAGCATGTTCTTGGGGACAAGTGTCGCAAGATCATGATACTGGACTGGTAAGTGAAGGGCAAATTTTGAACTTGATGCTTGATATAGACTAATTATGGCTGCAGGGACGTCCATCACGGTATGTGCGGTTTTATGAGAATAATATAATATAGTGTGATGCATGTATGGGTCTAACGGTACCAGGCAATGGCGTGCAGAGGATGTTCTACAATGACCCGAACGTACTATACATCTCGATCCATGTCTACCGGGATGGCAGCTTCTATCCCGGCGGTGACGAAGGCAACTGGGACTACTGCGGTGAAGGTCTCGGTCTAGGGAAGTACGTCGAAACACACTATAATATCATGATGATATGATCTTGTATGCTTACCGTTATAGGAACGTCAACATTCCCTGGCCGACACAAGGCATGGGAGACGGCGACTACCTCTATGCCTTCCAGGAAGTTGTTATGCCAATCGGCTACGAGTTTGATCCTGACCTCGTCATCAGTAAGTTGCCGTTAATCGCCAATCGTCGGATAAATACATAATTCAGGGTTCCATGTTCCACGTCTAACAGCCTGGTGTCATGTAGTATCCGCCGGCTTCGATGCGGCGGCGGGCGACGAGCTGGGAGGCTGTTTCGTGACACCCCCTTGCTACTCACACATGACGCGCATGCTGATGAACCTTGCCAACGGAAAGGTAGCGGTGTGTCTTGAGGGAGGGTATAACTTCCGCTCGATCTCCAAGTCAGCGCTAGCGGTTACGCGGACATTGATGGGCGAGCCGCCCGATCGGCTGATTGCGCCGTCAGCGTCGCGGCCGGCCGTTGAGACGGTGAGAGAGGTGGCGATGATGCACTCGCGGTACTGGAAGTGCATGTATCCGAAGGGTGAGCAAAGAACAAGCAAACTGGCAGGCAAACGATGACGATGTATGGACGCTTACCTTACCGCTTTAGGCCCGTCGTCGAACTTTGCCGGCAACCGTGTACATGGTATGTATGGTGATAACAGGAGAAGAGGGAGGAATGCTAATTGGTGTTGGGGTGGGAACAGATATCATCCGGCAGTACCAGGCGAAGCAGCTGTATGAGGAGCACAAGCTGACGAGCCTGTACATCTACCGGGACACGATCTCGAAGTCGTTTGAGAACCAGGTGCTGGCGAGGTAAGTCTCTTGTCTTTCGGCAACTCACGTATATTGTCTTATTGCCTTTTTGCATCTCGGCAATAAGCGACGACCTAACTAAAATGGTGGGTGTTACACAGCCAGAACTACGACAAGGTGGACACTCTGCTTGTTATCTTCCACGACCCGTAAGTTATACTGCTACTACCACTGTTACTGCTGTCGTTAGTGTTGGTGTATGCATGCTAAAATAAGTGTAACTAAAACAGGCCCGAGCTGATGGGCATCCCGCACCCGGTGACCAACGTGCTTGAAGCCCACAACACCTGGCTGGTACGTTTGACTGCCCACAGACTGTCACAAGCAAGTCCAAAAAGAGGAGTGGCTAACAGAGGGAACAAACAAGGCTGATAATGTCAAGGATTACATCTCCTGGGCGGTCGAGCATAACGTGGGCGTTATCGACGTCAACATCCCGAAGCACATCTCAGAAGCCGACGTAAGTGACACCACACTATAAAATAGTAACCAAATTAATAAACTAATTATTATTAATTAAATGCAGCAAAACTCACGGAGCTACGAGCGGGAGAGCCCGAACCGGGCCCTCTTCTCCGAGCAGCTTGCCGAGTACCTGTGGGAGAACTACATCGAGTGCGTCTATCCCACTGATCTGTCATTACTTGCAGCAGTAGTAGGCTGTTTGTTACTAACGACCAGAAGGACCAACGACACCAGCCGCATCTTCTTCATGGGGGTGGGCGATGCCTTTCTCGGACTGGCCAACCTTCTCATCAACAAGGGTTTGTCTTTCTACCTACCTTTTTATTTCAAATGCTATTCCGCTAACTGGGTAAACTAACTAACTAGAGCGAGTCCACACAATGGTCAGTGGCGTGATATGCTTTGTGGCCGAGAACCCCGTCCGCGCCGTCGCCAGCACCACCATCACCTGGCTCTCCAAGTGGTACAAAGAGGTAAGTCCGAAGTCCCTTTATTCAACCCATTTTTTTTTACAAAGAAATAGAAGAAAAGTACAGAAGAAGTAACAAGATGAAGAACTCCCTGGTCTTTGTGTCCCACCGGCACATGGTGTGGGAGGGCCAGGAGAACAAGCAGAAGCAATACAAGCGCTACGGGCGGCTGGTGAAGTCGACGGCGGCGCACACGCTGAACGAGATGCTGGTCAACCACCGCGCGGATGTGTTCAAGTGGATTGAGGAGCGAGTCGAGGCCGGGTCAGAGAGCAGTTCATAGCAGTCTCTCTACGGGAGTACTTCTAACTATGTACTTCTTCTACTTAGTCGCTATTATTACTACATCTAAGGTTAACTTTGTTGTTTCTTGTCCTTGCCTGCATGCGTCCAATGGCCCAGCGTAGCGCCCATGCAAGAGACGATGCAGGCTGCCCGAGTGACCATGCCATGCGCCTGAAACAAAGCCTGCGCCAGCCAGTCAAGACACTCAAAGCACAGAGAGAGAGAGCGAGAGTCAAAAGGACGAGCTTAGCTGGCGTGAAGGAAGAGAAAAAGCAACGAGAGTCCGGGGTGGCCGTTGGCAGCGCAGTCGTAGCAGTCGTAGCAGTCGTAGCAGTCGTAGCAGTCGTAGAATCTGTAGAATCTGTAGAATCCTGGAAGCAGAGACGAGATGTAACCCCGACTAGGACGACAGCCGGCGCTGCCGCTAGTTAGACCAGCCAGCGAACTAACTGACTAACTGACTAGCTGGCTGGCTAACTCGTTGCTTGTCTGGTCTCTAAGCAGCGATCCTGAGGCCGCCAGCTTTTACGAGTCCCGGCTGGCTCGTTAACTTAGCAAGGCCACAAAGCTTGTCTCCATCTCTCTGCTCACGTCTCTCTCTACATTATTATGTATTGTTCCAACGACCTGGAGAGTAGAGACACACTTTGACTGCCCTGCCGGAAATGAGCCTGTCTCGACACGCGACCGTCGCCACCGTCCTCGTCCTCGTCCCTCTTGGTCAGTCTTGTCCGTCTTGTCCGTCTTGTCTGCCTCTCGTCCTGGCCGCAAGCTGTCCCTCTTTTCTCCTGTCCATCGCCGCCTCTTCCCATCTTGACTGGCCAGCGCAATCTCCACAGAAGCCAAAAAAAACTCCCGGCCACGCGAGGTCCACTGGTCACTTTACACTTCGTTATGCAGGCAGGCTGCTGAGCTAGTTAACTAGTACTAGTAGTTACCTTTTCTACGCTGCGTCTTGCTTCTGACGGCGATCCACGGTTCGACGCTCGGCCGGTTCCAGGTGGCAGGGTGACATCGAGCAGAGGAGCCAGGGAGGGCCCTCTGGGTGGTCTCTGGTCTTTTGCCGCCGACAGAGACTGCAGGCTGGTTGGTTGGACGGGCCTTGCTGGCTGGTGCTAGGCTGGCTGGGCTGGAGGATGGCCCGTCTCGGTGATTAGACAGGGGGTTTGGTGGGCATGGAAGAGGCCTGGAGGAAGAGACTTCACCAGAGAAGACTCAGGGAAGCAGAGGAAGACGAGGAGAAGGACGGAACCAGCAGCCAGAGACCAGCAGCCAGAGAAAAGGAGAGAAAGGAGAAGAAGAAGAAGAAGCAAAGGAGGCCACGAGCCGCGAGCCATGGAACGAGATCTCTGCACTTAACGGAGTACGGGGGATAGTTGCTTTTACGGAGCACAGGCAAAAAGAATAATGGGATGACAGTCGCAGGGGCAAAGACAGCAGGCCTTAGCTCTTTTGCTTCGGCTTTTTTTCTCTTTGCTTCTTTTGCTTCTTCTTCCTCTTATTATTATTACGGTTGCATTAGCCATTATTGGAGCAAGGAAATAAGGGCGGGCAGAGAGGCAAAGATCGTTATATTAAAGGACGGCGTCTTGCCTGCCTGCGTCTCTGTTCTCTCTCCCTCTCCCTCTCTCTCGTCCCTTTCTCTGTCCGTCTGTCTCCTGGCCGCCAGTGGTTGTACGAGGAAAAAGCAACGACTGATAAAGAGAAGAAGCAAAAGAAGCAGAAGAAGAAGCAGAAGAAGCAAAGAGGAAGAAGAAGAAGAGAGAGCTCCCCAGGTTCATCTCCAGGTTCATCTCCAGATCTCCAGGTCAATCTCGTCTCCAGGTTTTTCACATCTATCTACAACACCCAAGGACATCCGGAACAGCAACATCCTCACAGCAGCATCTTCATAGCAACATCTCAAGAATGGCGGGCACGACAGACGTCTCGCGCGTCGAGGCGCCGGTGACGCTGAAGGCCTACTTCATGTGCGCCTTTGCGGCGTTTGGAGGCATCTTCTTCGGCTTCGACTCGGGCTACATCAACGGCGTCATGGGCATGGAGTACTTCATCACCCTCTTCACCGGCCTCAAGAAGTCCGACTTCCCGCCGCCGCACGAAGACAAGTTCGCCCTGCCCTCGTGGCAGAAGTCCATGATCACCTCGATCCTGTCTGCAGGCACCTTCTTCGGCTCCATCGTCGCAGGAGACCTCGCAGACATCATCGGCCGTCGCACCACCATCATCGCCGGCTGCGGCATCTTCATCGTCGGCGTCATTCTCCAGACCGCCTCGGCGGGCCTCAACCTGCTCGTCGCCGGCCGTCTGATCGCGGGCATCGGCGTGGGCTTCGTCTCTGCCATCATCGTGCTGTACATGTCTGAGATCGCGCCGCGCAAGGTCAGAGGCGCCATCGTCTCCGGGTACCAGTTCTGCATCACCGTCGGCCTGCTGCTCGCCTCCTGCGTCGACTACGGCACCCAGTCGCGCCAGGACTCGGGCTCCTACCGCATCCCCATCGCCCTGCAGATGCTCTGGGCCCTCATCCTGGCCGGCGGACTCTTCCTCCTGCCCGAGTCCCCCCGTTACTTCGTCAAGAAGGGCAAGCTCGAGGATGCGCAGACCGTGCTGGCTCGGCTGCGTGGCCAGGACCGCGACTCAGACTACATCCGCGAAGAGCTCGCTGAGATCGTGGCCAACCACGAGTACGAGATGCAGGCTGTTCCCGCGGGCTACTGGGCCTCCTGGATGCACTGCTTCAGCGGCAGCCTGTTCAACCCGGCCAGCAACATCCGCCGTATCATCCTCGGAACCGCCCTGCAGATGTTCCAGCAGTTCACGGGTATCAACTTCATCTTCTACTTTGGCACCACCTTCTTCCAAGACCTGGGCACCATCGACAATCCCTTCCTGATCGGCCTGATCACTACCTTGGTCAACGTGTGCTCTACCCCCGTCTCGTTCTGGACCATCGAGCGCTTCGGTCGTCGGGCACTGCTTATCTGGGGCGCTATCGGCATGTTCACGTGTGAGTTCATCGTCGCCATCGTGGGCGTCACCGACGGCGAGAACCGCAAGGCCGTGCAGGGCATGATTGCCTTGATCTGTCTGTACATCTTCTTCTTTGCATCGACCTGGGGTCCCGGCGCCTGGGTCGTCATCGGCGAAATCTACCCCTTGCCCATCCGTTCTCGAGGTGTCGGTCTCTCTACCGCCTCCAACTGGCTCTGGAACTGCGTAAGTCACAATATTCATTCACTCTCTCACTGTGTCTCTCGCAATTTGATGCTAATGCAGACTTACAGATCATATCTGTCATCACTCCCTTCCTGGTCGGCACCGACAAGGCCAACCTCGGCGCCAAGGTGTTCTTCATCTGGGGCTCGCTCTGCGTAGGCTGCTTCCTCTACGCCTTCTTCCTCATCCCCGAGACCAAGGGCCTCACCCTCGAGCAGGTCGACAAGATGATGGAGGAGACCACTCCCATCAAGTCCTCCAAGTGGAAGCCTCACACCACCTTTGCCGCGGAGATGGGCCATGTCGCGACCGCCGCCGCTGACGAGAAGAACGCTGTCCTCGATGCTGCTGCCGACTCTGCTGTTTAAGAGTCACACAGCCCTTGCGCCCTATAGTCGACTCTGCTATTTTCTTTTACTCCACCTTACTTAATGTCTGCTTACTTATGCTCGGCTGCATAGACTTGGGCCTTGTAGTCTGCTACGTCCTCGACGAATGAATGCCATTCATATGACCATACATTCTATTCCATCATAACCGTAGACTCACCCCGTAGAATCACTCTGTAGACCAATATATATAGTAACAAGTAAGGGAATGTCATGGCACTCGGCGTTGCGGCTCTCTGATTGGCCCACTGCGGCACGCGACCAGCTTTCCGCCGCTTCTCCTTCTCGCCGGCGCATCTCAAGCTTATCTTCACTTCGCCCAGCTCTTGGACCGCATGGCATGGCATTAGCCGGTATCGACGGACAACCTCGCCAGCCAAGCTCTCCCGTCGCGGCAAACGACCAACTCCAGGCATGTATGTATACTGTGCATAGGCTGTTAACACCCAACATACTTACTCTATCGACCAGCCAGCCACGGACTTGACCGAGCAAATACGAACGCTCCACCGCCATCCAACATTGGCATCCCGTCTCCGGCCAAAGCAACCCCAGAATCCGGGGTAGCCAACGAACCAGCATGATCCCAAGACATCAACCTGCTCCCCTTTGGCCCCCCTCACTGCGGCGAACTTCCATCTCTCGCCATTTCATCCTGTCTACCTACTTCCCATGTATCGACGCTGGTAAATCTGATGGCCGGCCGAGGCCCAAGTCGATTCTCGCCGGCTATTCCTGAGGATCTCGCTTCTTTCCCTGACACGGCCAAGATGGAACTTGCCTTCGACCCTTTTGCTTTCAACCGACCCGACCCATTGGCCCGTTCTGCGCCCAGCTTCAACTACGTACAGCTTAACGCATTGTAGACAAGAGAGCATGCATCGGCCTGGACCTGGACTGCATCTGGACGGCAAGACTAGTCAACTAGTTAATGGGTACTGACTGTCGTTGGCGTGTGCGGGGGTAATTCCGGCCCTTTTTCCAGAGCGTTGAACAAGTCGCGCTTTGTGTCCTGATAAAAGACTGCACGCTTGACCTAGTTATCAGTAACTAGACCTTTAAGTCAACTTCGTTGGTCAGGGGCAAGAGAGATAAATACCTGGGCGGTTCGCCGATCCCCCGGCCTGTTGTTACTTTTTCCACCCCCTCTCTCTTTCTCTCTTTGCTTTCTTTCAGACGTTTGCATTCAAATATAACCTATTTATCCTGGGATTTTGTTGGAATTGGGCCATTCTTGCTGGTTGATATTGGATATTTGATATTTTGATATTGATCATGCGGACTGATGAAGAAAAGGCCTCAAAGGGCGCCGCGGACCATGTCGATGATTTGAAGCAGGTTACTACCGCTTACGTTGATGAGGATGAAGAGTTCTCGCGCCAGCAGCAGCGCAAGATCATCCACCGCATCGATGCGCGGCTGGTCGTCATTTGTGGTGTGGGATACCTCGTCAGCTTGATGGACAGGACCAACACCTCTGTGGCTGCCATTGCTGGGTACGTACTACTTTACCTTACCTACCTACTTGACCCTAATCTATAGCCCATACTGACAATGCATAGCATGACCAAAGATTTGGGTCTAAAGATAGGATTTAGATACGTTAGTTTGTCCTGCCTGTCTGACCCCTGACAAATGTACGACCAATCTTCTAACGCTATCACTAGTCAATTATTGTCCTGCTGTTCTTCGTCACATACATCATTGCTCAACCCATAGCAACCGTAGCCATCAGAAAAATTGGCCCCAGAATATTCATTTCCTTCATTGTTTTCACATGGGGTGTCATTCTGATAGTATGTTACCCCCCTGAATTGATGCTTCCATTGCTAAAATGATATTCTAACATGTACGTTCCGACAGGGGTTTGGCTTTGTCAAAGATTGGCAGCAAATGGCTGGCCTGCGAGCACTGCTGGGTTTCCTCGAAGCTGGTTTCTTTCCGGGAACAGTATACCTCCTGTCCACCTGGTACTGCCGACGTGAGTCGTCCTTTGATATTATACCCAGCCAAAAAAATTACACCAAGTTAACAATGCTATAGATGAGGTCCAGAAGCGGTACTCGGTCTTCTACATCCTCGGTGCAGTCGCCGGTTCTCTCTCCGGCATCCTTGCATTCGGCCTCAGCCAGATGGAAGGTCTCCAGGGCATCCGTGGCTGGAGATGGATCTTCATCATAGAGGGAGTGGTAAGCCCATTCTCCTTCCTTACTTTCTTCCAACTCTCGTACCCTAACATGAACAACAGATTTCCATCCTCGTGGCTATCCTCAGCTACATCTTCCTAATTGACTTCCCGGACCGAGCCTCCGGAGCATGGGGATTCCTAAACGAAAAGGAACTCGCCTTCGTCGTGAGACGAGTCAACCGTGACAGAGGAGACGTGCACGTCGAGCCTTTTACCCTGGGCAGATTCCTCCGTCCAGCTCTCGACCTGAAGATATGGGGTTTCGCCCTGATCTTCTTGTACGTTCTACACCCCCCCCCCCCAACCCCATATCCCATCTTTCACTCGCTTCCCTTTCTAACATGCTTTCTACTTCCAGCTGCTCTACCACCGTAACCTACGCCATAGCATACTTCCTTCCCATCATCCTAGTGGACGGACTAGGCTTTGGCGTCGGCGAGTCCCAGTGTCTGATTGCACCTCCCTACGCCTTTGCTGCCATAGTGATGTACACCTCTGCCTACGTTGCGGATAAATACCGTATCCGCGCACCCGTCATCGCAGTCAACTCGCTTATTACGCTCATCGGTCTGCCCATGGTGGGATTCGGCAAGGGCAGCGCCCTCCGCTACACCGGGGTCTTCCTCGCCACGGCCGGAGCGAATGCAAACATCCCTTCTGCCATGGCATATCAGGCCAACAACATTCGTGGCCAGTGGACCAGAGCCCTGGCCAGCGCTACACTCGTTGGCTTTGGAGGCATCGGTGGCATCGCGGGCAGTCTGGTGTTTAGATCCCAGGATGCGCCGGCATATATACCCGGTATCTGGGCTGCAATCACGTAAGATTGATTGTTCCATCTTCCCTTAGCTTTACATAATGACTGTGCTAACACATGTTTGAACGGTATAGGTCGCAGCTTGTTCTTCTCTTGACTGCAGCGGTGATGAGCTGGCACTTCTGGAGATCGAACAAGAAGGCTGACAGGGGAGAGCTTGTCATCGAGGGGTCGGAGTCTTTCCGTTATACTATTTGATTTAGCAGTAGGAGCGTTAGCGAACGTGAGCGTATTGGATTAGCTCCATTAATAATGAATATATTTTATTTGCATACTGTCTGTATTGTTCATCTATTTACTCGTCGTCTACTATGTATGCCTTTGTGTAGCCCCCTTTTTCGTACTAGGCAAGTAAGTGGTTATAAACAACCGAGGAAGAATTTCCCGCTAAAGGCTCGCTTCTATGGTGTAGTGGTAGCACATCGGATTTTGATTCCGACGACGTCAGTTCGATCCTGGCTAGGAGCTATAATTTTTTTCTTTTCTTTTTTAACTACCTCCACCCAACTACCATCTTCTAGCGTGATGGCCAATATCGTGTTTATATCCTGTGAATACTTTTTGTCTATCTCGATAATATCACAGCTGGTCCATAATAGGAAACGCGAGGTAAATAACCAGAAGGCCTACCGGCAGCCGCGTCAATTGGTGACTACCATCTTCGAATCCCAGTATTCAACCACACTGACTTGTTACTGACTCACCGAGTCTAGACGACAGGTTATACCAACATTCTTTACTTTGGTGGCTACCTTTAGAACATGGTTATCACATGAATATAATTCCACCTAAGTACACAATGATTCAACCAATACCCCAGGATCTGAAATAACCACACTGGTTATTGAGGCGATGTCTTCAGCGTCATGAGGTATATACCACACTTCTAAATACAGGCCCGTCTTGATACCCCAAGCCCATACAACCGACAACTGTTCCACCGCATCATCAGCCTTCCACGGCTCCTACTTTCTTCCAAATGCTTCTGGGAGAAATGCAAAATCCACGGCTGGCTTCTTCTGGTATAGTCTCAGAACTTGCCGTGGATCAGTGTTGCTATTCGCTTCCATGGTACAGTAGTATGGAGATCCACTTGACGACCTGAGTCTGAGACCGTAAAGAAGACAATGGTATGGATTATTCGCTGCTATAGTGATGACGGTCGCTGCGTTTTTGCTAAGCGTTGCCGTTGTGCCGTCCTCTGTTTGACGGAAATAGATGAACTGATTGGTCTTGGGGTGCCGTATGATGTGGGATCCGCGGTCTGGGGGAATGGGTTCTATACGCCATATATCGGTTGCATTTGGCTTAATTTCAACGAGTCCATCAAGCGGGCTGATAGTCAAACCGTCGTGGTTGTAGTTCTCGAGAAAGGTGAAGTTTCCCGTGAGGCAGAGGCATGTCTGAGCCAAGAAGGCTACCAAGCAGATTGCGGATAAATTGAAGAGATGCATGGCTCATACAAAGCTCAATCGAATGCTCAAACTGGGCGTGGAGCAAAAGAAGCGTGGAAATTTGAAACCTATTAAGTATAGGGGTACTAAACGGTAGGTATCTAAACAACTATTTAAGCAGAGACCAATGCGGTCAAAGCCGGATCTTCTTCAGCTTTTTTCGGCTTCTTCTTTCTGCTATGACTTCCATAAGAGCATAATACTTGTATACGCTTAGAGATGGAAAGCTACTACCAGTTGCTGATATCCGTCGCAACACCCCGAGGCTAGGATAACTGCAGACATAACGCATATAGGGGTCCTTGTAGATTGGTGAGAGTAAGCTTATGCCAAATACGAGATATCTAACTAGTCAACTGCAGTTATAACCAGATCTAGGCCCTCTCCTTCCTATATATCCCATGATTATGTTCGCTAGTCCATTGTATGTAATATAATGTGTGAGAGTAAGCTTACGCCAAGGGCAACATAGCTAGATAACTATGTTCTAACTAGATAGTTAAGTTATGGTAACCTTACTTTATTGATAGGATATCAAATTTACTGAAGGTTCGATATCGGTGTTTGCCATACGATGTCGCATAGAAGAGGTCTTGGTAGTTGCCCGGGAAGAGGTAAAGTGAGACTGCATCTATATTAAAGTAGTTCATGTCCTACTTTTCGCCTGATCCTATTCCCACTTCACTCTTCCAATTCCTCAGCAGCCTCCTCTTATATTTAGTAACTACTTCAACGCTTCAATCACAAGATTTTGAAAATGCGGTTTACGCTATTTGCGATTGTCATCTCCGCGTTTGTCACCAGTACTTATGCTCAACGTGAATATTACCTACGAAACGAACCATCGGGACTCAACGTCACTTGGGACGATGACGACTATATATACATGGAACCCGGGATCAGAAAGTACACTATTTCGGCGTGGAACATGTATCCTGTCGCCAGCGACCTCAAGAACTGGTTTGCCTTTGGTGCTAGCTATTTCTATCTTCAATTTGATTTTGGCCGTGATGGAGACACTGCCCGACGTACGGATGAAGGAAGAATCTTTGAGATTAGAAAAGCCGAGTCTCATTCCTACGTGATCGACGTCCAGTCTATAGACAGCGGGCAACCAACTCTGGCATGGACGGTCGAGAGAAATTCAACAGACCCCCGGGTATTCTTAAAATTACGGCCGTACATGCGCCTTCCGAGCCAACAATTCACAATCACTCCAAAATGATAGAACGATATGCTTCTCGAATTTATTGCTGCGGTGCCGGTCTTATCGAAGATTTTGTGTGTTTAGTGACAGCAAATGACTATCGACCGTGGTAACATATCCGGGAAGAGAGAGATGGATAACGAACACTTGAAGGAAAGGACGACCGGTCAAACTGTATAAAGGCCAAGCTGTACATATTTTGTTGCATAGCCAAAGGGACTGTAGGTTCAGCTAGCCTTCTGCCCGCTAACACCGAATGCAAATCCAATGCCACTCTTTCCATGTCCCTCCATGTCCCTCAACAGGTACTTTAGGAGAGATATTGAAATGCGAATTCACCCGGCCTGAGCTTTGCACTAGACAGACACCCCAAGGCCCATGTTGGCATCATTTGCACAAGCACTGACATCATCCTCACCAACCCATTTTGAGCGCAGGATGAACTGGGCCAAAGGGATCTCCAGTCACAGTACCTATAGTATTTCAGGGGGTATCTATCATATAAGTGCGATAACGTGGTCTCTGGCTCTTCTACCTTCCCACCGAGAACCGGCGTGATTCCTGGTATGTTGAAAAAGAAATAATTTCAACAGGATGGTGGAACTTTTCGTACTGCATGTTATCTTCCACTAGGCCAGCCAGCATTCCACAGTTCCGGAGAAGCGGCTCAGTGGCTGCCAGGCGACGACTGTAAGGTACGAGATAGGTGCATAACATGCTCGAGCCAGCCTATCTCGAGTCGGCCTGACAGTAAGAAGCCTAGCAGAGGGCAAATCCACAGAACAGTATACCCTCGCAGGGGCCATAGTAGCCGACATCGTGCATCTCGAGGACGAGACGAAGTGACGGGAGGATATTAGGTATCGGCGTTGCTCCCGTCCCGTCCCCCCATCCGCGCTGGATAATCCGTTGTGGGAAAACCCCCCGGGGGGGCTGGGCCGGCTATCTGGCTTAGGTAATCGCCTGCAACGGAACACAGTGTCCAGCAAGCATCCAGAAGTCCAACTTCCGACTCCCTCGTCTTGCCGCGCTTCTCTCACTCACCAATCCCCCAGTCCGACGAGGTAAGCCTGTCTGTATTGTCTGTCTGTCTGTCGTGTGCCCTGACAGAGAGAGACACGTCTGCCTCGCTGCATCGCTAACCACCGAGCTAGTTAACTGGGTTGGCAGCGTTGGCTTGCTGTGCTTGCTGTATGCCTCCAAGGTTCCTCACGAGACGGCTTCACATCCCAGCTTCACGCAGGCCTCCCTTATTTACTGCTGGTCCTGCTGCTCTCGCCCGTCCCTCCAGTACTCAGCCTGTTGTTCCTTCCATACCACCGCCGCTGCTGCTCCTCGGTCAGCCGCCGGCTCGTTTCCCTCGTTCATCGTTGGCCTTCTTGCAGCGAGGTGCCTCGCTCTATACTACCACGGCAACAGCCACTCCCCGATATTCAGAGTCACCGGAGGACAAGTCGAGCTCCCCCGTAATGGCGCAGGTCGAGCGTTTGGCTGATAGCCTGGAGAAACCGTCGGTTGACAACCGCACGTATCGAGTCATCAGGTTGCCTAACCAGCTCGAGGCCCTCCTTGTCCATGACCCGGATACAGATAAGGCCAGTGCCTCTGTCAATGTCAACGTAGGGAACTTCTCCGACGACGATGACATGCCTGGCATGGCCCATGCTGTCGAGCATCTGCTCTTCATGGGTACCGAGAAGGTCTGCCCCCGCTTTTTGCATACCTTGATAAATCTACCATTGCTAACAGAGTCCTGTAAAATAGTACCCAAAAGAAAATGACTATAACCAGTATCTGGCCTCTCATTCCGGTCACTCGAATGCATACACAGCTGCTACGGAGACAAACTACTTCTTCGAGGTTGCTGCTACCTCCCACCCACGTTCCAAGGCCCCCTCTGCCACGCCGTCTGCTGTGCCATCTGCACCACCATCTCAGGCTCCAACCCCTGGAGGCATCCTGGCAGATAAAATGTCCCATCTCACCGTTGAGGGCGCTCCAAACAGCGCCAGCTCGTCGATAAGCGATTTGACTCCACCACTATACGGTGCACTTGACCGATTTGCCCAATTCTTTATTGCACCTCTTTTCCTCCCTTCCACTCTAGACCGTGAGCTCCAGGCTGTCGATTCCGAAAACAAGAAGAACCTGCAGAGTGACCCTTGGCGTATGCTACAGCTAAACAAGTCTCTCGCCAACCCAAAGCATCCTTACAGCCATTTTTCAACCGGAAACCTGAAGACTCTGCGTGATGACCCACAGGCGCGTGGCCTAGATGTCAGGAGTGAATTTATGAAGTTCCATGATAAGCACTATTCGGCAAACCGAATGAAGCTGGTTGTCCTG